CAGGGAGAGGGGTAAGGACAACAAGAGTAGGTTATCTCGGGAGAGGGGTAAGGTACGTACCTACTCTTGTTGGAGACATACCTTACCCCTCTCCCTGTCTCCAACAGAGTAGGTACCTTACCCCTCTCCCCGTACCTACTCTTGTTGCAAAGCTAAGTTTGCTATTTGTATCTGGTTGTTTCGGGTAGGCTGGAATGTGTATACATATAATGAGATTATATACACATACATCAGAAGTTAATAATGACAAACTTTGTCATTATTAGCGCCTGGCATACATCGATAGTTAATCATACAACCTGCAGCAGAGCGTTGACAGTAGGTAACATGGGTTGACAGTGGGAGAGGTTAATTACATCCACCTATAGCGAGCGTACTGCAGAATAACACAGATCGATAATTTGTCGATCGCTGCGATATCTATTATTTACGATCGCCGTACAGTTTGTCGGGCTGTCTGGGATGAACTATTGTGAGAGACTGAAGCAGGTTCTTGCGCTCCCTCTTCTCTCTCGCGCGCTCTCTCTCGCGCGCGCTCTTTATCTCTCTCTCTATCTCTCTCTATCTCTCTCTCTCCCTCTCTCTCTCTCTCTCTCTCTCTCTCTCTTTCTGTGTCCTCCTCGTCTCTCCTCCCTTCATCTCTCTCTCATCCGTCTCGATCTCCTCTCATCCTCTCTCTCTGCTATCTCTGCTCTCTCTCTCGTTCATTGCCCTGTTATCTCTCCCTCTTCTCTTTCTCGTCCCTCCTGTATGCTCTGTCGCATCAAGCTCTCAACTTTCAAGTTCACCTCCAACTCCTCCTCTCTCTCTCTCTTCATTCACGGGATCTTGGACCTTCTCTCTCTTTCCCATCCCGCCGGGCGCACGCTATATTCTAATCCATCTTCTCTCACCGCTCCTCCTCTCTCTCTCTTCGTCTCTCTTCTCTATTATATTTTCTCTTCGCTTTCTTTCAGCGCTCTTCACTCTCCTCTCCTCCTCCTGCTTCTCCCTTTATCTGTCTCTTCTCTTTATATTCTCTCTTTGCTTCTTCCTCTCTCTCTTCTCGTCCTGGTTTCTCCTCTACCCCTCCCTTCTCTCTCTCTGACTCTCCTCTCTCTGTCCTCCTCATCACGCCTCTGCTCTCTCCCTCTCCCTCTCTTCTCCCTCTCTCTCTCTCCTCTCTCTCCTCTCTCTTCTCTTTATCTCGCTCGCCTGTTTTCACCTTTCTTTCTCCTCTGATCCTCCTCTCCCGTCCTCTCTCCCCTCTCTCTTCTCGTTCTCTCTCATCTCTCTTCTCTCGGTGGGCTTCTTCCGTCCCTCTGTGGGGGTTATCTCTCCTTGCGCGCCGCTCTCTCTCTCTCTCTCTCTTCTCTCTCTCTTCCTCTCTCAGCCTCGGCTCGTCTCCGTCTTCTCATCTTCGCGTCCATTTCTCCCCCCAGTTCGCTCTCTCGGTCTCTCGCTCTTCTCCCCCCCCGACGCAGATGCCGCCCTCTCCGCCGGTCTGTCCGCTTCCCTCCCGCCCCCCCTCTCTCCCTTCCGCTTCGCTCTTTCTCTTTTCTATCTTCTTCACGCTCATTTCTTTCTCGCGTCTTTTTCTTTCTCTCTCTCTCTCATTCTCTCTCGTCTTTCTCTCTATATGCTCTCTCGCTCTTTCTTTCTCGCTCTTTGTCTTTCTCTCCCTCTCTCTCTTTGTCTCTCTCTGCTCAATCTTTCTCTCTTCTTAACTATCTCTTCTCTCTCTCTCACACTATCTCTCTTCTCTCTCCTACACGCTCTCTCTCTCTCTCCTCTCTCCTCTCTCTCTCTCGCAGATCTCTCTCTCTCTCTCTCTTACCACTGATCTCTCTCTCTCTTTCTTTTCTCCTCTCTCTCTCCTCGCTCGCTTTCTCTCTCTCTCTCTTACTCTGTCCTCTGTCCTCTTTCTCGTCACATCTCTCTCCTGTCTGTCTCTCTCTCTCGTCTTTAGTTTACTCTGTCCCTTCGCTTTCTCTCATCTCTCTCTCTCTTTCTCTCTTTATCTCTCCTCCTCGCTCTCTCCTCTCTCTCTCATGCTCTCTCATCTCTCTCTCTCCTCTCCTCGCTCTTGTCAACTCTCTTTTTTTCTGTCTCTATTCCGTCTCTCCTCTCTTCTCTCCTCGCTTTTCTTTCTCGCTATTTTTTCTCTCTTTATGTTCTCTCTCTCTCTCCGCTCTCTCGCTCCTTTCTGCATCTTTATCTCTCGCTCTTTTCTTCAGCTTCTTTTTTCTTATCTCTCTCTCATCTCTCTGTCTCNTCTCTCTCTCTCTCTCTCTCTCTCTCTATCTCTCTCCTCCCCCCTCTCTCTCTATCTCGCTCTTTCAGTGTTCCTCGTTTCAAGGGCACTCATCTGAGTTGACACACGCACCTCCCCCTCCCCCTCTCCCCCACCCACACACACACTTAATCCCCGTGCGTGCCTCTTTCGCCACCGATGAAAAAAATCCAATTGTGCATCGGATGAAAAGCACAGTCACTGGGGGGCGCGTGCAGCAGTCAATGCTAAGTGCAGTGAGCTGGGATGGGAGAGGGGGTGAGAGGGGGTGAGAGGGGGAGGGGAGAGGAGAGAGGGGAGAGAAGAGAGCAGGAAAGGGGAAGAAGAAAGTTGGGAGGGGAGAAGGAGTGAGAGGGGGAGAGCTGGGAGGAGGGGAGAGCAGGGAGGAGGGGAGAGCTGGGAGGGGTGCGGAGAGGGATGGGAGGGAAGTAAAGATAGCTGGAAAGGGAGAGAAGAGGGTTTGCAGGGGAGGGAGATAGGGAGAGCGCGCGAGAGATAGATAGAAATAGACAGAGAGAGAGCGAGAGAGAGAGAGAGAGAGAGAGAGANTCGCTCGCTCTCTCTCTTCTCCCACGCCTCTCTCTAACTCTCTCTCCTCTTCTCAAGCGCTTGCGCGCTCTCTCTCTCTCTTCTCTCGCCCTCTCTCTCTCTCTCTCTTCTCTCTTCTCGCTCTTCTCTCTCTCTCTACTGCTTCGAGTTCCTCTAAAAAGCTTTCTCTCTCTTCTTCCCTGTCGCTCTCTTGTCTCGTCCTCGCTCTCGCATCTCTAACCTCCACCTCTCCCTCTCCCCTCTATCTCTCTCTCTCTCTCTTACGTCTCTCTCTCTCTCTCCGTCTCTCT